ATTATTTTTCATTTTTTGTATAAGCTCTAACTCGTTTTGAATTTAATAATATTTCAAGAACCGTTCCCCGCCTCTATAATACTCCCATGCACCCAATTGCACCGTTTATTTCACTTCGTGGTCGTCGTTTCACCTACTCATTTAAAATACGTGATAAAATAAGTGCTCTCGGTTGATCAGTCCTGTTAGGCAGAGACATTTAGAATTTTGACGCCTCAGGTAAAATTTTATTGCTACCCCAACATACATTTTATGCGATTTTTCAAGAAAGATAATATTTATTATCTATGGATTTTACGCAGTCAACTTTTGATAATATTATCATGAAAATAAAATTCATAGTGTGGTTGTTATGCAAAATCTTAAAGTATTAAAATTTTTTGATTGACGAATGAAAATGGATGATGGATTAGAGGCTGGTACAAAAATGGTTATAATAAAATGCTGCCACCCTTTATATTTAAAAAAAAATTTACCACTCGGGCGACGATACTCCTCTCTCCCTTAATACGATCCTGTTGTTAGGTCGAGGTTATGTTACACGCACCTGTGTTCAGAGGATTACAAAAGCGCGTGAACGGTCCAGCAACTCAAACAAGATGGGTCCAATAGTTTTTTTTTTTTGTTTTTTTCCATGTCGTTTTCACCGTCCTTTTGTCGATTGTTTGTTATATTGTTCTGCAAATGTTGTTCACCAACGCAATGAATGCGTTTTAGGTCTTGAGTGTAGGCTAGGAACAAGTATTGGCGTAAAAAAAGATGACAGTTTTTTTAGCCTTTTTTTTTATACTTCTGCGAAAATGTACTTTTTCGAAAAGAAAAAGGTACCTCTAAAGTTTCATGGCCACTTCTCGTTAAACCGGAAATCGGATACAGAAGGTATATTTTATATTGAAGTATATATTTTCATAATGGTTTTTCTAAGCACAATGAAAATTAATAAAAAAAAAACTACTTTGGAAAATATGAAATGTTAAAGTTAAATGCATTCCTTGACTTAGAGGGGAGGCATAGGGAACTGAGTACCCCAATTAAATTATTAGATATCCTAGCGTACCCCTACTATTTTTTCAAGAAAGGACGCATGGAACGGTGTTTTATTTAAGTTTAGTGTTTATAAAATTACAAAAAGTTAATACTTTTACTAAAAACAAACTATTTACAAAATGAAAATAATATTATTTATATATATATATATATATATATATATATAAGTTGGTCTTGGTCTTGCAGCAAGACCAAGACCAAAACAAGACCCACTCTGCAAGTCTTTTAGTCTAGCAATTTTTATATTAATTAAAAAAAAAATGTTGCCAGAAAAACACATTTAGTGTTGGTTAAATTAAATAATTTATTAAGAATATAATAAAAATGTAATATTACATTTGACATAGGATATGGTGTTCGGGGAAATAACAAATTATTGAATTATTGAAAACAAGATAAAAAATAATTGGATATAACATTCACCGTAAAGTATTTAACAAATAATAAATAACATGTAACAAATAGCAATTACAGAAACGTAATGGTATTGTTTTAAGCTGTCGAATACGACACAAATGTTAATATGTGAGCATAAAAACAAAATAATAACACCAAAATTACCGATACAGGCGATAAGGTATATTTATAAATAGTAATATTTTTTTTATTTTTTATTTTTTTTATTATATAATATATCCGCTGCTTCTATGGTCATTGGACGTTACAATGTTTTGACTTAATACATAATGAAAATAAACGTATTACTTATTACTAATTCATTTATTAAATAAACAAATATATTAGTGCAGGTTGGTTACAGGAGGTTGATGAGGTGTGTATCTGTGAGGAATTGGCAGAGCTTGACGATATTGTCTGGTTTGGGTCTTAGTGTTTCAGCCAGGTGATAAGATATCTGCTGCTTAATTCTCTACATATTGTGTGTGTTACATTCGGTGATTATATGTTTGACTGTAAGAGGGACCCCACAGCATATGCAAATGGGGGGGTCCTAGTAATATTTATTTAGGTTCTTAAATAAATCTCTTCATTGAATTTTATATTAATAAAATGCTTTAATTATAGTTGGTACTCAAGATATTATTATACATATATTGTATGTATTTATTTTGTGTGCTATCTGTGAAATACTGTAAAATTGTTTTTTTTTTTGTTGATTTTCTTGGCATTAGTGACTCGTACACTTCAGTGTTTGCAGCAGTAACGATTAAACAATTATATTGTACTAGTTTAGATAGATTTTATATTATTCAGATAAAAAATACACTATATTTATATATTCAGGTTATGATTCAAACTTTGAAAAAAGGTAAAACAAATTATGGAATATTTGTTGGTTTGTGATAAGATGTTTGAGGATGTTGTAAGGGAATAAATACGGTATGTTCAGTTTTTAATTAGGTAGAGACGTAAAATATGTATTTATTATCAGAATACTACTATATTTTTTTTCCAAGTCAAGCACCAGTTAATTGTATTAATATAGTTTTTATAAATAAAATAAGTAATTATGTATAAATAAATTAAATTTAATTATTCATACGAGTATTACATTTCAACTGCAGTATTAGATAAATATTTCAGAAATTTCGACAAACCATTTTTCCAATGATCTATGATTTATGCATAAAATACGAGTACGGTCTACCGAGATATATTCAGAATCGTTATCGAATGTTACAGAACGTCATTATTTTCAAACTTTTCAAAAGGAATCAGTGACTTTTACCCATGATCCTTCAAATCTCACCGATATGTATTTTTTCTTTCGACTTTACGTTGTTCTGACAAATTCAACGCAAAACATTTTTCCTAAACATTAAAAGAGCCCAAGAAGCGATATTTATACCATTTGGACATGAAACGTAAGGAGAGGATTTTACTTTCCAATACAAAGTTACACCCAAAATAGTATAGTCAATATCTTCGTTCTTATAGTTTTTCTCTGTTACTTTTGGCTCATAAATATACAAGTACTATTACATTATTGTTATAAAAGGTACTTACACTATTTCAGCCGTCAACTATTGCTGGTTCGTCGATCCACCGGGTCGTTTGGCAATTCCATATAGTCCTCGAAAAAAAAAAATAATAATATTCTTGCTGTAGGCAAATGTATTATTTCTACACCATCACACTATATTAAAATATAGGCAATTGCTCTTTAGGGAACACGTTTAATAACATTTTACGTGTCGAGAACAGCGAATGGCCGTTTTAGACACGATTTTATTTTAAAAAGATAAGTAATGTGCTACTGCACGAGTATAAGTATATCTGTAACGTAACCGCTGAAACATCAATCTGTCTATGATGTGGTTTATGATGATTATTGGTCGTTTAAGGAATTGTGTGAAACGAGATAAGTGGTAAACAAAAATAAATTTTCTACCAGAATGTACTTTTATGGACGTGTCCTTCTCGTTATTCCTTATTATACACAATTTTTTTGTCATCGCCATCCTTTATTCTAAAATATGTATTATGTATTGAGTATAATACTGAAGTCGAAGGAAAAATAATATTTTTTAAAGTGTTTATTATTATAACTTATATTTGTTTTAGCTTATAAAAAAACATCTCTTTTTGCAATTAAAAATAACAATTCGATAAAAATTACACTTTAAAAGCAATACAATTTTTTAACACATCTTATAATCTTATTAAAGATTTATTATTATTCACACAAATATTTTAAGTACATTGAAAATAATAATTTTCTGTTACTTATCTAATACTATAAAATAATGCATATACACTTATTAAGATAATTGTCAAATAATTTTAACTACCAAAAACCATAATATTTTTTTCTTAAAACGATTTATTCACAATAATTTATTTACGTACATATACACGCGGTGTATCGGTAAAGGATGAGTATGCGACTATGTTCGCCTTAAATTTAGATTTTAAGATTTTCACGTTTATCTAAACACACGTCATCGAACGAAATCGGGTATTTTTTCTATAAACTTAAATATTTCAAAAGCACTTCTTGCCCACGATTAATAAGGGGTTTATTCTCCCACACAAAAATAATAAATTGTGTTTCGTTTGTACAAAAGCCAAAGCTAAAGTATTGCGAGCACAGTGATTTAACGCAGTGGTTTAGTTTCAAGATGATGCGTATAAGCTATATTTTATAATAAATAATAATATTATAAGAATGACAATCAAATATGTCCGGCCCCCAATAGCGTTCACTATTATCATTACCATTATTATTATTAATGTTGTTATATTATACTATTCCGATGAAAAACAAGGGGTATTGTGTTATATTACTCTCTATTGATTGTTGTGCGCCAAACCCGAAGACGGTAAATGCATTTACTTGGATTTGTATGGTGTTGAAAATATAAAATTTTATAATATTATTGTCAATTGTACTAAACAAACATAACATGCGTATTTGCTTTATTCTTGTAGAACGGTGATGTACTAGAATTTACGATGTATATGTTAAGCAGTGTATGTGCACATGTACCGCTGATGTGATTCTCTCGAGGGCGTTTATGCTGCATTCGCTTTTACAGAGTTTGTCTGCAAAAAAAAAAAAAAAAAAACTCGGGTTTCCATTGAAACCGAACCCAATCGAATAACTTCATACGTATTATGTAAATATTCATGTCTGAATAATGTCTTCCTGTAACCTCGATATGGATTGAGACACGTGGCTTTTATTATTTTGTTGTCATCCCCCTCCCCACGCACTATCAAAAACAACGTTTTTTAGTTTTATCATGAAAATCCTTTTCTCTTGCATCGCGGTTAATGTCATAAACCTTTTTGCGTCTACATTTATGCCCCATAAATGTGCGAAGTCATAAAAGTGTACACAGTCTTACCATATTCTCTCCAATTTAGTGCTTCGGAAAAGGTTAAACAACTTCGGACGAATTCGGGTCTTTTTATCAATAATTTGCAAATATCTTTTGAAAAATTAAAATATTGTGAAAAATATTATTTGTAGAACGTTTCGTTTAAATTATAAACAAATAATACTATACAATTTTTGTTAGATTGATTGTTCCTAACTAAATAAATCAAAATTAAATTAATTTGTGCCAAAACCAAAGTTTCTAAAAGTTGTTTTATCTTATAAATTATTTATGCTGTAAAGGAACTTGTTAGAGCTAAAATAATAATGCTTTTAATAGTATAGAAAATATATCTATACATAGTATAAGGCAAAGTCCTTCAGTGCACCTGTGTTTGGTTTTCTCTGTACGTCCATTGATCGGTTTCTACTTTGGTTTTCACTAATGGATAGTATTTTACGAGGAAAATCAAGATATATAATTTGCTGGTGTTCTGTTAAAAGAAAAGTTTAAAAAAGTCGAATAAAAAAATCTGATGTGTATGTATATTACGGTAAATTTGTACACAGCATACTGGTGTAATTTATATTTGTCGAGATACCTTAAAAATTAATTAACATTTGTCTGCTCTGAATTGAAGTAAAATATTAAGCGGTAACATAAGTGCGAAACCGGTGCGAGGCAGATGGTATACATTAAAGCGTGAAAGATAACAATATTTTTTTCTTCTAATAAGGAAATATATACACGGCGAGGCAGTGGGTTCTGACGAATTTTAATTGAAGTTTATTAGTTTAGTCAAGAATTAGAAACAAAATAATGAAAAATTATTTATTTTATTCAACGCGAAGATTACATTTAACTACTATCAATAAAAATGTTAACTTATAAAAATTACGTTACTCAAATGGCCAATGGTGATATTGCTTGGTCACCACGTTCTCCTGCTTCAACGCCACCTAATTATTTTTTATGGGGCTTCCTAAAATCTATTCACTAATAAGCCACGCACATCATTAGAGTTGAAAGAAAACATTAGACGGGAAATTGTAGCCATCGATGTGCATACTTTACAGAAAGTTATGGACAGTATGAAAAAACGAATGGCGGACTGTAAACAAAATAAATGCGACCACTTAAGTAATGTTACTTTTATAACATATAAACCCTGTATATTTTGTCGATATTGTAGATTCTTTCTCCAAATGTTTATTTAACTATTCACTACTATATTATACTACAATTACTATTCTGTGGTAATAAACATAACGATCGGCGCAATACCGTTAAACGTAGTCGCATCTCACCAACAATTGTTTACGTCTTACAATGTATAATGTTATTTCTGGCGTTTCTTCTGTTGTTGCGCGATTATGATTATACGTCGGGGACCGATCCCGTTTATCCACGTTTTCCCGTGCACGCGTATCGAATTGGAAAACGAAAAACCGAGTGGACGATCGTAAGACGACCGGATGTCGGTATTAGCCTTTGGACACGGACAGCTGCGCACATCTGAGAAAACGTTTTCCGATACACCGCGTGTTTCTCGTATCGTTCAATTTATGATACGAAAAACGAAAACCCTTTGAGTAAAAATTTTTTTTTCTCGCTCAAACGTTGGTTCGTCGTGTCCAGACGCATTAGTACATTAGCACATCATTTGTTTTTCGCGTTCTTAACCGGCGCACACGATAAACGTATGATACACGTGACGGCGATAAAATATTTGTGTTCGGAAGAATCAAAACGCAATGTTTTTGTACTATAATAACGTGAAAATAGTAATGAACATTGCACATGCAAATATTATGTACGTTCAAACGGTAATAACATTGAACATCTACTGCACCGGTTGTAGCTTTTGGTCGCGCGGATTATTCGCCATACTCTGGAGGACTATTTACGTCGACTATTTCTGACGACAGCGGTACGCGAAAAACCTTATTATTCCGCGCGTTGTCATCACGCGCCATAGCTTTCCGCCATTGGATCGCGAACCGAAAATGTAGAATAATCGGATCATACAATAATAATATATACATAATAATAACACATGCGCAGCTGCTATTCACTCTCCTCTGATAATAAATTATAACGTGTTGTTTCGTTGCTACATACGTATTATATTATTGTTTTTCCAAGTGATTCCGCGTATTGTGTAACATAAAATCCTTGTGAAGCACGTTAACGGTAAACATATGCGTGTAAGTATTTTAAACCCTATTTCTGTGCGTATGTTTATGAACGCGAGAATCGTGGAAACGGATGGCGTATCGCACAACGCTTCTGTTGGTAAAAATAATATATCATTTTTCAAGCCGAATGAAAATTAATATTTTCTACACTTATTTCCGATCTCTACATGTTGTACACGAACGTGATGAACTGGATATAACTTACGAATCTGTCGCCGTTAAATGACTTGTCCTATGCAATTCTCAAAAATGTTTCTACGTCAACGGATCGACTCTTAAAAATTAAATTTTTTTTTGTAAATTTCGGATATCGCCGGAGTGCTCTTAACGTTAGCAGGAACTTTCAATGAGGTTTTCGAAAAATCACTGTGTGGATGTGATTATAAATCGGTGGAGCGTATTACTGTAAAATCATCCATCAAACATCCATCAATAGGCGAAAAAAATATTCAATCGTTTCATCTCCCCAATGATACAGGAACGAGTCGCGGGCTTTGGTTTTTCTCCAGCCCCAACGTTTGTTTTTTATCGTCGTTAGTCGTCCGTTACGAGTTTATATTAACGGACCGGAGGAAAAAAAAATAAAAAATGAAATTCCTGCTCCAAGATCGAGTCGGACCAGCACCGCGAGACCTCGAAGAAAGGGTAGGGGGGTGGGTCGATATCGAATGTATGACACCTACAGGCATGCATTGTTCAGACGATCTCTCTCAGTCGGATCGGAACGCCGACGAAAACCCGGTGCAGTGGTGCGGACGTGCGTGAAACGGGCCCGAGAACACCGAACGGATGGCGCGTGCGATGTGTAGGATGTACGTGCGCGGACGGCGTTTCCGCCCGAACCGCGATCCGTGCGTCGCGTCGTCAAACGGCGTGTTCGTCCTGGCCGAGTACGACGCGACACTTTCGTCATACCGAACTGGGCAGGACGAGACGCGGATCGGCGGCCGGCGGACAGTCGAGCGCCTCGAGCGCGGCGATCGGCGTCTGCGGTATCACGTAGCCGCCGACGGACGCTTTCAACCGCCTGGTCGGCGGCTCGGGTTTCCGGAGATGGACACCGCCGCCGTGGTGCTGATGGTGATCGGAGGCGCCAGCGCACTCCTTGATGGCGGCCAGACCGACGGCGGACCGTTTCCCGCCGCCGATGTGGTTGTTGTTGTTGTTGTTGGTGGTGGTGGCAGTGGACAGCGCGGTGGTCGTGTATTGCAGATGTTTGCTGCCACCGTTGTGCCTGGCCACGCCAGCTATGGTCGCGTACCGTTTGGTGGTCGAAGCCGACGTGCACGTGCACGGTTTGGTGGTGTCTACCTCGTAGCACGACCCGTTGCCGTCCACGGCCACCGTCTGTCGGTAGTGCTGCAGATGGTGCTGGTGGTGCTTGTGCTGCTGCTGCGCGGCCGGGCGGCCGAGCGTCGCACTACTGCCGTAGCCGATGGCCGCCAGACTAGGTTTGCCGTTGTTGGCCGTCGACGTTGGCGGCTGCGGCAGGACGCCCGTAGTCGGGGCCGCGTCGTCGCGACCGATTTTCGACGGACATATGTCGGGAGGCGTTTTGCTGGCCGTCCCGTTGGCCTCGGCCGGGGCGCCCGACATCGACGACGACGTGGACTGTTCGCAGCCGCCGGACGGCGAGCATTGCGACGCGGACAGCCGTCCGGACGTCGCGGTCGCGGACAACTGTTCCGTCCGTGACATGGTGTCGGCCGCGTTCGGCGAATCGGGCCGCGTGTCCACGGAACAAGCGGACGACCGATCACCGGCACCGCCGCCACCACTGCCGCCGCACGTGGACGGCGTGGTGTCTAGCGACGGTTTGCGGTCGACGGCCGTGTACTGGACGCGGTCCTCTAGCCGCCGGAAGTACGCGGTGATGGTGAACACGGCGGACGCCTCGGACGCCAGGAACGCCAGGCTGCACGCGACGAACGACCAACCGTACCGGTAATCGTAGTCGGACCGCAGTCCGCCGTCGAACTCATCGCTGTCGTCCGTATCGTCGCCGTCAACCGATTGGTAGACGACAGGCGAGAAGCTGTCGTTGAGCACCGACGCGAACACGAACAGCCCGGCCGCCAGTATTAGCCCTGCGAACACACAAAAACCGTCCCGTTTAGATTATTCAGGATGATCCATCGCGATAAACAGTCGTTTTTGACACGTTCTCATCCGGTGTACCTTGTCCACCTGTCGTAATAAACCGTTGTAAGTCGTGATACGGTATCGCATTCAGTGTTAGGATTCATCCGGATGATTATTTATTTTATCTTTCACCTTATCTAAGATACACGTTTACGAGTTATCCAAAATTCTTACTTCAGATAAACATCTCATTTAACTAGATACAATTTTCGGTATTGATAACAATAATCGGAAACGTCCAAACGAAAATTATTACTTTCAACTTTTATTCCCTTTATCTTAGAGGTCCTTCTACATAAAATAATAGTAAGTCTTCAAATATTAATTATTACTGCAAAAAAATATAATAATTTGGTTTTTTCTTCGTTTTTTTTTATTACTTGTAATTTTGGATTTTTTACTTTCGTTAATGTTTTATTAGTTTTCAATTCCTAATTCCATAGCTACATCTCGCATTAAGTTAGCACTGATGTCGATAAGCAACAGTTAGAGTTTGATTAACATAATTTAACAATAATTAAGGACAATTTGGAGGGAAAGGTTTGAACATCTAACCCCCTTAGAAATGACTCGGCATATGTGTATATATAATATATACATATATAATACATATATATGTTATAATGCATATATAATACATTATAACGTGTGTTACGGCCTTACAAGTAATTAAATATTTTACCTGTCCACCGGCTGGCGTCATAAAGGATTAATATTTATCTGACGTTGAGTAACGCCAATGCTATTCGCGCGAAAAATTTAGAAAACGGTAACCTACTCAATTTTTCTACGATCTCAACAATTTTCAAAGTCAACTAAATTATTAGAATGTATAGTGCGTGTGTCTGTGAATCATATTTTATGTGCAACACATTATTTTTTTCAGGCACAGTTTTTAATAAATTCACTGTACATTTATTTGTTTTACTGTAATTTTTTTTTATAATTTATTTATTGTCATTTGAGTATGTGTGTCCAACTTAAAAATTTATTTTTAAATAATGGCTGCAACTGGCCAGGTGTACACTGCATCATCCGGAACCGATAACCTCACATTATTTCTTATTATTATAATTGTTATAGTATAAAATATTATACTATGGTTAGTTACCGTTCAGAATTTATGCTAATCAGTCACTTTGTACAAATATTTTATTTTATCGTCAGGCACATTATTATTATTTATTATTGTTTAGATATTTATTTTTTGTCAACATACTTCGATTCTATAGCATAGTCATAACTAATTATTTAAAATTTATATTTTATTATTTTAATAAAGTTATTCGCTCATAGTTACCATACTCATAACGTTATCTTTATTATGATCATAATTATTCTTACTGTAATAAAATTATTCGGCATTAAACGCATACGATAGTGGTCAACTGACCAATTAATTTTGTGTTATTAATTTATTGTTTACATATTATGAATTTATTACGATTAAACATTATTCGCGTGACATTACACAATAGTTGCACCTAGTTTTAAATTATTAATTGTTTCCAACCAGGTTTAATTCCAGTCAAGCGCAGGCGAACCCTCCCTCAGTCGTTTTAATTAATGTCCTGGTAGAAGAAAAAATGTGGAACTCATATTCCTAGAATTTCCTAAGTCCCCGTTTACAGTTAACGTTTACTGTAATAGGCACCGAGGTGAACGGCGTATTATATTCCGCACCCGCCCAAACAGTGTGTAATACTATACGGTATGAAATGCATTGGATATATTATTGCAGATGTTAAATAATGTATACCTTAATGGTTTTTTTAAAATCATAACTGAACATGGAGTTAGTTAGTTTGCATAGTATTATTGTAACTCATGTGCGTATTTTATTATCTCGTTTAAACAAAAGGCTTTTCAAATAATAAGAAGTTGTTAAATCATACAAAATTAGTTTTATTATTTTTCTGAAAATTCGACCGATGAAAAAATAAAAAAACTTTATTGTATATGTAATAGTTTGAACATATCTATGGGATAAAGATGTCTAAAATCATTTTGCACCAAGACTTTTGAAACAGTAACACAGTAAGCATTGATCACATCTGGTCATGAGTCAAATTACATTTTTATTGTATTGAATAAGATACACCAATTATTAGCTATTTACTTTATTGAAATAAGTATGGAGCATAGTTGAAAATCAGTGGGGCTTAGATGGCTTAGCCCCCCAAAATTGGCAGTAGCCCCCCAAAAAAAAATCCAGCACATTACAAAATTTCAAATTTCTTCACATTTCAAAATGTTATATTTTGTTTGATAATGAAAGTAAGGTTGGTTAAGATCCCCATAGATATATTTTGTATACATTTTTCAAGCATCCCCCCTAGGAAAAAAATTTAAATTACACCTATGGTGTGGAGTGGTGAAAAATAACATATAATTTCAATTGTAAAAAGTGGATGAACAGCTGGAGAAAAAAATTACACGATGTGAAATTGTATTGTTACTTTCATGTAAAGTTATCATATAATTTTTAAATTTGACGAAGTGTACAAATATGAATCACGATTTCACTAAGTGCGCACTAAATATTATACTTCTTGTTGTCTCTACCCGATTGTCTGTTCTTTTTGTCTTCCAAGCTTTAACGATTGTCCACATATAATATTCGAGAGTCGAAAGAGAACACTGTTAAGCAATCCAATTGTAAACTTCTCTATTTAAGGTAAAATACACGACGACTTGTTGTTATACACTTAAACACAAGTATATTTAATATTATTGAACCGTATTATCACCATATTATCGGAACGATGATAAGTAACAAATTTTCAGCCTGCGAATCATAATATGTTAAGCCGCGCTCAATACCGCTCACAAATACCGGATGTAATATATCTTTTGAAAGATACCCATAAGTTGGGCCGCCTTTAGATACGATCGACGCGGATGATGACACAGGCCGAACAATTAGAAGAACGCGAGAGAAGCATTAAAATTAAAATTGAATTTCATCAAACATTGGCGCCGCAAATTATCTACATTGGATGAAAATAAAAAATATATAATGTGATTTGATATTAATTCAATTATTATTGTTATTTTTATTATTATTTGTTATTATATCGCCATGCAAAACGTGAAAAAATCAAAGTTTTATAAGATATCATTATATTATGTTTCTTATTATGTTCGTTCTCTGTATGATTTACAAATATGTAGTGAGTATGCAAGTTGGATATTTTGAAGCATTTTTTTAAACATAGGGTTTAGTACCTCTAAATTCCATAATTGTGCCTGTTTTAATGTTATGTTTAAGACGTGTTTTAGGAGGGATACCAAAATAATACTTGTGTGGGGCGCTGATAAAACTAAAGCTGGCCAAGCACAAATTAAGTAGTAATGTGCATGTACGACGTGAAATGACAAAAAGTGAAAACGTTTAAAAACGTTTATTATTCGTCAATCACGAAAAAAGTTAAAAATTCATTGTTGGAAACAAACTCTCAACATTTTAATTTTACAAGAAAAGTTTTTTACTCATTTATTTTTTAATATAATTATATTCTGGTAGACAGAAATGGAGTAAATCGGAATTATTTAAGTTTTGGGGTTAATCTCAAATTGCAAGCCAGCATAATCTGCAGGTCATCAAATATGTGATAACGACACTTTTTTGACATACTAAGTCATCAATATTTAAATCACAGATCCTTAAACTTGTAAATTTAATTTTTTTTTGTTTTTAGATAGTTATAAACACGTGTTTCTTATTACACATTATAATTAGTGAAATCCAAAGCTTGCTGGAATTATGTGACTTATAGTTCATCCAAACGACACTTTTCAGTTTAGTTTCCGAGCATAAGTTTCCAGTTATAGTAGATTTCTCTGTTTTAATATGTAGTACGAGTACTTTTGTTTATTCATTACGATAACAGTTATTTGGTTTGTATTGGAATAATGAGGTTCGATGACGGTTTATCAGTCTCCATATTGAGCATTAGAGCAGCGATTCCCATAAACATATTGTCATAACTTGTAATTGTATCATCTTTGGTAAACTAAATACTTACTATCATGATAAAAAATACTAGGTAACAGTTACTATTAATATTTGTTTAATATTAAGTTTAAATATTTAGTACTATTGTTCTAATTATTTGAATTTCCTATTACTACCATAAGATGGCAAATACAAATATGAATAAGAATACGATGAATGAGACTTTAGTTGAAGTTCTTAAAAGTTTAGTCAAAACAAACGCAACTGAAGACTCAGACGTTAATGAAAACATTTTTGAAGATAAAGGATTATCATCTGACAGTGAAGAAGATGATGAGATTGTCGTAGTAAATGGTAATTTTACTTTATCTTCAATGATGGAAGATTTGAAAAGTATGGGCACTTTAAATGGTGTGCCTGCTCACGAGTGTTCAACTGAAGGAAAACCCTGGTTAAGACCGTATGCAGATAATACTGATTACTGTAGCTACGGGTTTAACGAATACGCATGGTTAGAATACTATGAACATCAAAGGGAAATGCGTTATAGAGAATCACCCAGTAGTAGTAGACACACAGAGAGTGTTGTTGAAGGTCAAGAAACAAGCTATAATGAAGAAAGGGCATATAAACACATGTCTCATCGTCATCGTTCCAGAAATCGTACACATGAAAAACTTTCTAGGAAACGACCATCGAATGAGGAGTGGGTACATTGTGGCCAAAATAAGAAAAAGAAGTCGGATTAGAACAAGGAATATAACAGTGAATAATTTATACATTTTATGATGTAAATTTATGAAATTAATTCTATATTCTATTATTATTATTTTGACATAATTTCCATAATTTGTTAATGGTAATTAAAGGTTTATTGCAACCGACAGTGTGTTTAACTAGTGTTTGCTTAAAGTATATATTTCAATCAAATTAAACTTCGGAAATGAATGAATGTTGTCATTTAAAATGATAAATATAAAACCTTAC